GCCCTATACAGGGTCGCCATTGGTCAGAACCAACTCAATGGCACTTAGCAACAACAGCTGTTACAAAGGTGGCTTTCTCCTTTGAATGTGCAGGGCACTATCATCTGAAGTACTTAGTTAATACAAACTTGTTCCTCAGGCAGACTTTCCCACATTAATCAATGATGCTCTGGCCAGTGTGGCCAACACTCATAGATTGATCCTTGACTCCTGTCTGTCTTTCACACGCCTTCCAGCAATTCCTTCAAACTTGATCAGGAATCCAATCACTCTCATTAGTTCCATTGAGGCCAAATGATCCAAACCACCATCATTTCCTACGAGTATTTGCAAGAACACCAAAGTAGCCTCCCCTCGCTGCTCTTGTCCCCTTCTGTTTCCAGCACAAAACCAGAGTGATGCTGTTAAAAAAAAACAGTCAGGCAGATCATATTTATTACTTTTCTGTTCAAAACCCACCAAAGCCTCCCCTACCACACCTCATTAAAGCTCAAGTCGTGGTAAGGGTCCACCAGGTTCTATAAATATGACCCTTTACTTGCTGCCTGTATGTTCTCATCTCTTCTTATTCTTCCCTTTTCTCACTGCACTCCAGACGCAAGGACAGCCTTGCTGTTCCTCAAGCATACATACCAGGCACACTCCTGCCTCAGAGTTCCTGCAATCACTATGGCTTCTATGTGGAACGCGTTTTCCTCAGCTCTCTGTCTCATCCCCTCTGCCTGCCTATCTTACTCAAAGGTTACCTCAGTGAAGCCTTACCTAACCAACGAATTTAAACTTTCTACCTGCCCAAGCTTACTCCCAGCCTCCTTCTTTGATTTATTTTCTCCACTTAGGACTCTGTGATAGTATAGTGGTTACGAATCGGCCTGCTAATCTCATGGTCAGCAGTTCAAAACTACCAGTGGTTCCGTGGAAGAAAAATGAGGCTTTCTGTTCCCATAAAGATATATAAGGTTGCTTTGAGTTAGAACCGACTCCTTGGCATATAACCACTACCAACACCAGGCCTATCTAATGTTATATATGCAATTATTTATGTTTTATTGTCTAGCTCACTCCATTTACACTCCAGGAGAGCAGGACAGTTTGCCTGTGATGCTGACTGATCAATGCTGGGCACACAATAATGAATAAATGAGTGAATGAATGAATGCAATGAAATATTTTCTCTATGGTATGTGCCCCATATGTACACTATAAACTCCTAGAGGAAGTTTCTTCCTTAAGACAGCAGTTCTCAAACAGATTGTGCTCAGAACCCATTTGTTATTGCTAAGTGCCGTCAAGTCATTTCTGACTCATAGTGACACTGTGTGGGGTTTCCGAGGAACAACTGATGGGTTTGAACTGCCAACCTTGGGGATTGCAGTCCAGGGCTGATCCTACAGTGCCTTTAACACTCTTAAAATCATTGCAGACTTAAAGGGCTTTTGTTGATTATTTCTTTATATTGATAGTTAATGTATTAGAAACGAAAACCAAGGTATTTTTTAAATGTTTACTCATTTAGAATAATCATAAACTCACTACGTGTTAACATAAATAACATTCTTAGGATGAACAACTGTATTTTTAAAACAACATTTTAATGAAAAGAGTGGCCTTCTTTTACATTTTATAGATCTCTTAATGTCTGGAGTAAAAAGACAGCTGGGATTTCTCGTATCTGCTTTTGCATTCAACCTATTGCAATATGTTCTTTGGATAAAGTATATGAAGAAAATTGGGCTTCCCACAGATAGGGAATTGGAAAAGAAAAGACTTCGCGGTTCCCCTGAAATGATCTTGGGGAATTTCATATGACACTTTGCGAACCATTTTTTTAAGATGTTGTATCCGTGCGTATCCTCTGCAGCACCAAACCAAAGCCAATGCTATCGAGTCAATTCTGACTCAGAAGAGCCCTAAAGGACAGAGTAGAACTGCACCTTAGGGGTCCTAGACTGTCAGTCTTTACAGGAGCAGACAGCCTCATCTTTCTCCCGTGGAGTGGCTGGTGGGGTTGAACCACTGACCTTGTGATTAGCAGCCCAGCACATAACCCAGTACATCACCAAGGCTCCTGGCACATACCACAGTAATAGAAATACTTAAGAAATATTGCTCAAGAAATTGTTGTTGTTGTTGTTAAGTGCCTTTGAGTTGGTTCCAACTCATAGCGACCCTGTATAAGGTTCCCAAGGAGCGACTGGTGAGCTTGAACCATCGATCTTGTGATTCAAATTGACTTTGCAGTCCAGTGCATTAACCCACAGTGCCACAACCAGGGCTCAAGAAATAGTGAAGATTAATTGATTTTTAAATCCCTTTCAGGATTTCCAGAAGGGGGAAGCCCAACCATGAATGGACCATTACCAAACTTTTCATTGAATTCCAATCTGTCAGAACAGGTATGAAACATACTACAGGTAAAGGCATGTCTTCAGATAAAAGAGCATGCCAACTAAAACTTGAGGACAGGGTCCGAATTTGGAGTCAGTTTGTGAGTTGCAATTTACCAGTGAGTACATATAATACTTTTTTTTTTCCCAGTGATTGAGGCCTTACGCTACTTGTCATTTCTATTGGCATTCCAGGTGCTTTGAATAACAATTTGAGTTTCTTTAAAACTAGCAAAGAAGTGTGGTGCTTTCATTATTGTTCCTCTCATGTAGATTTTATTTGAACAGAAATTTTCTCACAATAGATCTCTGGAAGTTTATGATATTAAAACACAAAAAGACTTTTTAAAAAGAAAGTTTAAACTGCATATTTTTCAACTGTAAAATAGTGATGACTGTCATCTCTCCGTCTTGCCTTCAAAGTAGTTGAAGGAATCAATTATAATAGTATTTATAAAACGCACTCCAAAAAACAACAGCTGTAAGAGCACAATGGAAAGAGAGTTCATAATTAATTCAGGAGAAAAGAATAAATGGTTCAGGAATCTGTTATTGTTAAATGTCATTGAATCAGTTCCAACTCATAGCAGCCCTCTGTACAACGGAACAAAACATCACCTAGACCTGTGCCATTTGTTTGTTCTTCTGACAATCCATGATACCTTTAATATTTTTCTCCAACACCATAACTCAACTGCATCAATCCTTCTACATTCTTCCTTATTCATCATCCAACTTTCACACGCAGATGGGGCTAATGAAAATACCGTGGCTTGGGTCAGATGCACTTTAGTCCTCAAACTGTCATCTGTGCTCTTGAACATTTTAAAGAGATCGTGTGCAGCAAACTTGCCTAATGCAAATACATTGTTTGATATCTTGACTGCTGCTTCCATGAGTGTTGCTGGTGGATCCAAGCAAAGTGATGTCTTAGACAACTTCCATCTTTTCTCCATTTATCATGATATTAGTATTTTGTCCAGTGGCAGGGATTTTTGTTTTCTTTACATTTAAAGTGCCACCCATACCGTCAAAGGCTGTGGTCTGTCAGTATTTTAAGCCCTCTTAGCTTTCAGCAAGCAAGATTGTGTCATCTGCATATCGCAGGTTGTTCATGAGTCTTTCTCCAATCCTGATGCCTGCTTTTCTTCATATTTGCTCAGAATATCTTCTCAGAATTTTTGTTCAACATACAGATTGAATAGTATGGTGAAAGACTACAACTCTGGAGCACACTTTTCTTGATTTTTAAAACGTTCAGTTTTCCCTTGTTCTGTTCAAACAACTGCCTCTTGGTCTATGTACAGGTTCCTCATGAGCACAATTTAGTGTTCCGGAATACTCACACCTCACAATGTTGTTCATAGCTTGTCATGATTCATACAACCGAAAGCCTTGGCATAGTCAATAAAGCACTGGTAAACATCTTTCTGGTATTCTCTGCTTTCAAACAAGATCCATCTGATGTCAGCAAGGTTATCCCTCATTCCATGTCCTCATCTGAATCCTGCTTGAACCTCTGGCAGTTCTCTGTCAATGTACTGTTGCAGCCATCTGTTAATTATCATTAGTAAAATTTTACATACATATGATATTAATGATATTGTCCTAGGATTTCTGCATTCTGTTGTGTCACCTCTCTTTGGCATGGCCACAAATATGGATATCTTCCAATCAGTTGGCCAGGTAGCTGTCTTCCAAATTTCTTGGCATAGACGAGTGAGTGCCTCCAGTGTTGCATCAGTATGTTGAAAGATTTCAATTTGTATCCCATCAATTCCCAGAGCCTTGTTCTTCGCCAAAGCCTTCAGTACACCTTGAACTTCTTCCTTCAGTACCATTGTCTATTGATCCATATGCTACCTCTTAAAATAGTTGAACATCAACCATTTCCTTTTAATTCTGTGTAGTCCTTCCATCTTCTTTTGATGCTTTCTGCATCATTCAATATTTTGCCAATAGAATCCTTTAGTATTTCAAGTTGAGACTTGAATTTTTCCTTAATTCTTTCAGCTTGAGAAATGCTGAGCGTGGGCTTCGTTTTTGACTTTCTAACTCCATATCTTTGTACATTTCATTATAATATTTGTTTTTCTTTTCTTGAGCTGCCCTTTGAAATTTTCCGTTCAGCTCTTTTACCTCATTTCTCCCGTTTGCTTTAGCATTTCTGTGATGAACAGCAAGTTTCAGATTCTCTTCTGACATCCATTGTGGTCTTTTCTTTCTTCCTTGTCTTCTTAAAGACCTTTTGCTTTCTTCCTGTATGATGTTATTGATGTTATCCCACAACTCTTCTGGTTTTCCGTCATTAGTGTCTAATGCGTCCAATTTGTTCTTGAGATGATCTCTAAATTTAGGTGGGATATGTTCAAGGTCATATTTTGGCTCTCATGGACTTGTTTTAATTTTCTTCAGCTTCAACCTGAGCTTTCATACAAGCAATTGATGATTTGTTCCACAGTCAAGAGCCTAGCAGGATTTATTTGTTATATTCAAATATAATAGCTAAAGCCAAAAGGGAAAAAGTCAATTATATAATATTTATATTGATCAAAGGAAGCACAAAATCCATTTTCCCATTATTGATCCAGTTCTAATTATATGTGTCTTGGTACTACAAAGTGGGTTTTTGTTTCTCATACACAGAAGTTGTTGTTGTTAAGTGCCGTTGAGTTGATTCCAACCCATAGTGACCCTGTATGGGATTTCTGAGGAGCGACTGATAAGCTTGAGCCACTGACCTTGTGGTTCAAACCAACTTTGTAGTGTAGCACATTAACCCACAGCACCACACCAGGACTGAGTCATTTAAAGAATGTTCTGATGTGACACTGTAGGATAAGTGCTGGACTGCTAATTGCAAGTCCAGCAGTTCAAGCCCATCAGCCACTCCTTGGAAACCCTGTACATGGTTGCTATGAGTCGGATCTGACTCAACAGCACTTAAGAACAACAACTCATGCTTAACAATGTCCTCTATTCCACAGGAAGCTGAAGTTCACTGTAAGCCATGGTATGTTGGGGACTGTGATCGAAAGTCTGCTGAAGAGGCATTGTACAAGTCAAACAAGGTTTGGTCATTTTTCAGCTCCATATTGCTCCCTTAGTCTCTTAACAGGCCAAACTGTTGTCCGTATAATGTGTTAATGAAAACTTATTGCAAAGCTTATGAGTGCAAGGATCCTTTTCCTTTAGTTACTCAAGAGGGTCTGCCATCCTTTCCTTTCATTCAAGCAGTTCCCTCTTTGTTCTCCCATCTCATTTCTACTTGTTCTTTCACCTCTATAATAATACACAAGCTCTGTTGTTCCCCCAACAGTGGGAGAGAAGAAGGCTCTAGTGGGAGACTCTTTGCAAAGCTTGATGCCACAGGACACCCATCCAGAAGTGAGAAGTGGCAGGCTAATTTGGATCACTGCATGGGATAAAAAGTTTATGTCAGGATGGCAAGACTGGAAGTAAATTTTTGAAGAGTCCAAACTGACTCCATAGGAACACGTAGTTTGGACTATCCAAGATTAAAGTGCCAATTCAAGTAGGCCCAATGGATCCCTCCACACCAGAAAATTTTCTTCTGTACACAGGGTTCTTGCTTTTCTTTTTCATTCTTTCTTTTCTTTTCTTTTTGGATACCCACTCTCCCATAAATGTCCTTTCCTCTTTTCTTTTCCTGTTGCTGCCTGGCTCTCACATAAATTTTCTCTCACATTCCTGGTAATAATAGGTAATGGTTCTTTGTCCATGGTTGTATGTTACCTCTCTACCATATGTCTCCTCTTCAATGCTATTGGAAATTAATGGTGGTTCATCCAATTCATTCAACAAACATCTACTGAACAACTATTATGTCAGGTGCTGTACTGTTACATCTTGTATTCAAGTTCACCAATTACTGGTACTGCTGCATGAATAGGCAGGCCAGTGAAATAGAATAGGAAGTCCAGAAATATACCAACTTCATATGAAAATCTAATATATCAAAGGGTAGTATCCCAAACCACTGTTTTAATTCTGGTGATTTGTAGGTTGTTTTAACATCTGGTAGGACTAGTCTCCTCTTATGACTCATTCTGAAGCTAGACAAATTGACCCTAATGTGCATACGGAAAAATAAACTTGTAAAAGAAAGCACTGAAATGAAAGAATTTTTATTAGGGTGGGATGTTAAATTTTGTCTAGGGTTTTTTCCAACCTCTATAGAAATAAATACAAGGATTTTTCTCCTTAGACATACTAAAATCACGGGTTCTGTTGATAGATTTCCTATTATTAAACTCTCCTACTTGGTCATGGTATATTATTCTCTAATGTGGTGTTGGAGTTTGTTAAAAAATACTTAATTTAAGATCTTTGTATCCAGCATCCTAAGTAATATTTTATTGTAATTTTATTTAATTCTTATATCTATCATATTTAGATAGCCATACTATACTTGCCTCCTAAAAATAATTTGGAAAATCGTCTTCATTTTCTATGCTCCAAGACAGTTTTTATAGCATTGAGACTAGCTGGTTTCTGAAGCGTGGTAAAATTTCTCTGTAAACCATCTGGATCTGGCGCCATTTTGTAGAGTAGCTCCATGATCAGTTTCTTCCTTCCATGTAATTTGGTCTGGTTAAGCTCTATATCTCTATTGGTGTTGATTTGGGTTATTATGTTTTTCTAAGAGCATCTTCACTTCACCTGGGTCTGCATAGGGCTGAGTCTAGAGGTGCACCGGTCTTTTATGGTGCTTTCAATTTTACTATCAACAATTATTTCTTTCTTGTCATTTCTTACTTTATATATTTGTACTTTTGCCTTTTTCATGATTAAGTTAGTTGCTTGTCTATTTTACTGATTTTTTCCAACCATCAGATCTTTTCTATTTCATTCTTTTCTGCTTTTTACATTATTATTATTTTCTGCTATTTTACTGACTCATTGTACTTCCTCTTCTTTAAAAATACTTTTCCTCTCTCTTGGTTGTGTCCATGCCTTCCTTCTGTATTGTTTATAAAGTTTTCACTTAAAGCTACTGCCCAATGGGCATATTGTCATGTCTTCTTCATTTATGAAATCGATTTTTCATTTTCTTCTGTTTCTTTCCTGAGTTTGATCAACTTTTGTTGCATTTCTCCTTCCTGCTCTGTGTCCAATTTTTGTTTATAATTTATGAATTTCTGATTCTAGATTAATTTTATAAAATATGTCATGAAATTTGGAGTGCTGTGGTGTAGGTTTTGTTTATTTGTTTTTTTCTTCTTCAATGTAAGTTTTTCTTGGAGAATTTTTATCAGCTGAACTTCTGGTTCCCTTTTAGTGCTGCTGAGAGAAATGTATTTGATTTTTTTTCTATTCATAGGCAAATTGTGGGTATGGCTCCTAGCTCAAGAATACCCTGTAGGTTTCACCTTAAAGTGTCTCCATATTTCTAAATCCTAAAACATAGTATTTTTAGGATTTAACATATCATAAAATTAGCATTGAACTCACTGAATAGGATTCCCCATGAATTATATTTTGCTGATATCTTTTTCTTGGAAAAGAATAAAAATAAACTCTAATCAAGACTTAAAAGTATGCAGTTAGATAATCAGTTTTAGAATGTGATATAGGTATTCTTCATAAAATAGTTTCTAAACTATGGAAATAAGAAACTAACCAAAATTATGCTTTTTAAAAAATTATTATTAAACAGGATGGATCGTTTCTTATTCGGAAAAGCTCTGGCCATGATTCCAAACAACCATATACATTAGTTGTATTCTTTAATAAGCGTGTATATAACATTCCTGTGCGATTTATTGAAGCAACAAAACAATATGCTTTGGGAAGGAAGAAAACTGGTGAAGAGGTCAGTAATTTCTCTCATAGTTAAAGTCTACAAATATGTGTTAAGTACAATGGCATCATAGTGTGTTACGTGTTAGGGATGAAAAAACGGATATATGAATACTTAGTCCTAAACTTGCATATATGTCATAATAGAGAACAACAGATAATACTATGTTCAGGCAATTTATCCTATGTTGTTGTTGTTGTTAAGTGCTATATAATTGGTTACGACTCATAGTGACCCTGTATATAGGGTTTCCGAGGAGCAGTTGGTGAGCTTGCAATTCCAACTGACCTTGCAGTCAGCACTGTAACCCACAGTGCTACATCAGGACTCCAATTTATCTTACAGGAGAACAGAAAGGCAAAGAGACTAATGTGATGACAAAGTTACATCCTGGTCCCTTTCATGCAGCTACTTAAAGGGTCAGTGTGACCTAGGATTTTAGTCCAGGGGGGCATATAAGTCAAGGTTGAACTAAATTAGAAATGTAAAGTGCAATTATAGTTGCAAGAATCAAAGTCAGGAGCTAGACTCCAAAGTTAATACCTAGAATCTCAGCTCTGACATGAGGATTAGAGAAAGATCCAGAGGAAACAAAACTGGGCTGACCTAAAACATTAGGCACAACCCTTAGACCTGAATGAGACTGGGGGCCTACAACAAGAAAAAACAAGTGGGTCTTAAATACTAACCAAACATGAACTTCAACTCTTATTTATTCTTGATCAAACTCAATGTGTACCCTATTCTAGTTTGGCCAGCCTGTTCCTATAGTGAAACGTGGACTAATCCATGAATGCTCCATAAAGGGAGAGCTACTCTGATCTTGAATGTCTGGCTAGATTTAAATACCCACCGAATTCACAGCCATCGAGTCCATTCTGACTCACAGTGACCCTAGAGGAATGACTAGAACTGCCCATAGGGTTTCTTAAGCTATAAATCTTTACAATAGCGGTCTCATCTTTCTCCAACTGAGTCATTGGTGGGTTCAAACCACTGACCTTGAGGTTAGCAGCCAAACACTTAACCCACTTTACTACTAGGGCATTTTAATAGGTAGAAAGAAATATGGAGAGGAAGAGAGAAAAGAAGAAGGAAGACACAGCAAAAATAAAATTCAAGTCAAGAAATACTTCTTTTCAAGGTTTCCCCAGAAAAACTATATCCAATCCAAATCTAGCACTTGTTAGAAAATGTCTGAATCATTACAAAGTATCATAATTGCTCAAGTGTCTATCTTCTCCACTAGATAAGACCAGGGACAATGTCTGCTTCATCTCTGTATCTCTACAGCAGTACAGTGATTGGCTTCAGTGAATGTTCAGTGCTTATTAAATGAATGAATTGATTTATTGACTGATTGAGTATAGGCAGGAGAATAATAACATTGGTAAAACAACTAAATGGGTCTTGTTGCATTCATGTTGTGCACTGTATTTTGCTTTTAGTAAAATCTCAGATATTTAGAAGATACATAACTCTTGAATCTGAGAACACCAGTCAAAATAGGGATTTAAAATGTAGATTGCCTCATCATTCAATACCAGTTCAAATTTACTAGGACTTGTGCCTTTTCCTATTCATAAAAGTCTTTTCTCTCACTGAAATATTTATCTTAAAAGTCTTTTTAAAATAAATATTCCTCTATAGTAATCAATGGGGGAAGATGATGGTGATCCTGGTAGGCTCAGTAGGATAAGCACTGGACTGCTAACCACAAGGTCAGCAGTTCAAGGCCACTAACCACTTCTCAGTAGAAACATGAAACTTTCGGCTCCCAAAAAGATTTACAGGTTCAGAAACCCTATATAGGCTTACTATGGTTCAGAACGAAGTCAACAACACTGAACAGCCACAGAATATTCCATAACAGTTTGGGGTCCAAAAGGAGCTCTGGATTTTACTGTCCTCCTAGGAAACGCTGATAAACAAAGACTCCTCTGAGGAGTACTCATCCCTGCTTCAAAGGAAATAGATCATATTTGCTTTTGTATTTTTTTTTTAACCTCCTTCCCAAAATATCCAGATTATGAATGCCAAAAGAAGTACTATATCCTTCTTTTTTTAATAGCTTTTTAAATTTTGTTGTTGTTATTGAAAATATACACAGTCGAGCACAAGCCAATTCAATAATTTTTACATGTGCAATTCATTGACATTGGTAACATTCTTCAAGTGTCTGAGCGCCCTTGCCCTACTTTTCTGAACTGTTCCTCCCACATTAACACAAATTGATTGCCCCATAATTTTCCTATTTAACCTTTCAAGTTGCTCTTGCCAATTGGATCCCAGATAGAGTCCTTTAAAAGAGCACAGTGCTCTAAATGGATGGTTTTTTACTAATTAAGCCTTTTTGATTGTTTAAAGATTTCAGGGAATATTTTTAGTTTAAGGCATAAGGGGTTCATCCAGCCTCAGTAGTTCCAACAAGTCTGGACTCAGTGAGAATATGAATCCTGTTTTACATTACCCCGCTTTTGATCATTATTTTTATTCTTAGAGTGGTACCAAGAACCACTGGCAGTCAATTAAAATTTACTTAAATAATCCATGAATAAAAGGGTCATGTCTCTCATATGCTTAACATTTGAGTGGAAAATGCAAAGTGTAGTTGCATGAGGTCAACCACTTGAATATTTTGAAAAGTCTGAGTGTTTGTATTTGTGTTTGTGTGTACATAGGTAGAAAAAGTAACTAAGTGATTAAATATTTGACTTTCCATGTAGATACAGTATTGAGTAATCTGACAGTTTGGGCAACTGTCTGCTTTATTTTACTGACCATGCGATTTTGAGCTATCACACAAGTTGTTTATCTGCCTACATATACATATTACAAACACAAATTGTGTAAGTTACGCACAATTCTTCTTTCAATTAAATCACAAATGCAATTCAACACTACGTCAAACATTTCAGTCACTGAACACTAAAAGCAATACTCAAAAACATTTAGGGACTAGAAGGACAGAATGGGATGTTTATTTGTGTTGTTGTTGTTGTTAAGTGCCTTCAAGTCATTTCTGACCCATAGCGACCCTTTATAGGGTTTCCGAGGAGCAGCTGGTAAAGTTGAACCACCGACCCTACAGTTCAAATGACTTTGCAGTTTGGCACATTAACCTATAGTGCCACACCAACAATTGTTTACTTTGCTTGGGTTCAGAACATACTTTTTTACATTGAATCCACTTCAAAGGGGTCACACCTAAATACTATTTCATGTCCTGGTTCTGCAGTATATATAAATTCCAACAGCATTCAGTAGCGCAACACGTGGTGCCAAAAATAAATGAATAAATATCTAGTGTTATTTATCATAAAAGTATTTCATTGGGAATTGCAACAGAGTGTAATGATTGCAGCAAAAAAAAAAGGAGTAAACACTAAAGGTATCCCCTCAAACATTCAACCCACATCTGGTGGCAAGGAAATTTTGCGAATGCTGTTTTGTGTGAATCTTATTTAATTAAACTTTGTATCTTGAGATCATTGTAGATTCATGCCAGTATTAAAAAAACAAAACAAAAACTAAACCAAAGGTATTCAAAGGTCTTCCTTCTACCTCTCCCCTTGACATAATATTCAGATTACTATTTGAAAAATTTGGCCAGTATTCTGAATATTTTACACTATTATATATATATATATATGTCAAAAATTATCCACACTCCAGTTATATTAAAATGCCTGTCCATGTCCATGGCTGATGACAACATTGAGAACATGCATGAAATGATTCTGTCAAATATACAAGTGACAGTGATTATGTGGCAAATCATTTACAAATCAGCCATGGCTTTGCCTATGAAATAATCCAAGACAGACTTGAGTTTCAGAAAGTTTGTGCAAGATAGGTACTGAAAAGCATAAACAGAAGCATCTGGACATCTGCAAACAAAATTTGGACTGATGGTTGAAGGAAGGTAAAAATTTCTGTAAAAAAATCATTACTGGTGACAAGACATGGATTCATCACTGTGAGCCTGAGAGTAAGTAGCAGAGTATAGAATAGAAACATTCTCAATCTCCAACCAAGATAAAGTTCAAAGGTCAACCAAAATTTGGCAATTTTCCAAAAGCTGGAAAATTGATGCTTATAGTTTTCTGGGATTCTCAAGGGTCAGTACTGGAATACTATCAAGAAAAAGATTCAACACTCAACAGTGCTTGTTACAGTGAGCTACTTACTGAAGAGCTAACGCCTAAACTTTGAGTTAAACACAGAGGACTGCTATCCAAGAGTGTTTGTGATCTTGCATGGCAATGCACATCCACACACCTCTGCTCACCTGTGGACACACTGCAAAAACTTAATTTTGAGGTATTAAAGCATCCTCCCTATAGCCCTGATCTTGTTCCATTGGACTTTTACCTGTTTGGTTCCCTGAAAACAACCCTTCGAGGACACAGATTCACCTTTGATAAAGAAGCTAAGACAGTGGTGCATCTGTGTCTTGCAGCTCTGCCTAAAACATTTTTTAATAAGGGAATATAAAAGGTTATTGACAGGTAGACAAAGTTTATTGAAAACCAAGGAAATTATGTTGAAAAATGGTGTATTTGTCTTTTCTAAAAGTTGATTAAAATAAGTTCTACATTGCGGAGCCCTTATAGTGTATAGAACCTTAGGTGGAATCCTGAGCCCCATCCAGAACCTTCTGAGGTGGAACAGTCCCACTTGAAAGGATATGCAAACCAGACCAGAACAGCCAGAGGAACAGAAGATACTTCCTGAAAGAAATACCAGCAGGAAAAATCAAAAGCAAAACCAGCAATCTATTTGGCTATTACAAGAATAAGCAAGCTGTTTGCTGGGGAGCCATCAAGTCAAGCAATCAAGTTCCTTCAGGACAAACCCCTCTACAAGACTGAAACTCAAAGGGAACACATAAGCAGGCATGTAAGCTTGTTTTTGCTGGTGACCGCATTTGTCTGCATTTTAGTGGAAGTGGGGGAAAGTCAGTAATGAAGATATGGGCTGAGTTTGACCACATTCCATAGACTCCTGTTGACCTCGAGATAAGAGCAAGAAGAGGAAAGGCTGGTTGGTGCAAAGTCTGGGCAGACTTGGGAACTCCTGAGCCTGTGGACATTGACCTAGCCAAAGAGGGCTAAAGCTGAGAGTGAAGTGTCCAGCTGATATGAAGTGGGGGAGATGAACAAGAATGCCCAAATTTGCAAATAGTACCCATTTGACCTAGCTTTTATGGTTTGATGACCAGAGAGCTCAATTAGAGGAAGATAAAGAAATTTGGTAAAGGAAGCAAGTGTAAATTGCTACAATTTGATGAACTTGATCTATATTTAATGGATGTAGTAGTTCTAAATACCAACTGAGAAGGAAGGAGTTTTCACATCAAGGATCAAGCCTATCCCCTTGGTATACAGGGTTGATAGGGACAGGCAACTTAGACATTGGCTACCTAACATGGGAGGCAGGGCCTATAAAGGCATGAAGTGGCTGGCTTACAAGTTTTCAAGAGGAAGTTTATTTCAAAGTATGCGGGGAAGGTAGAATCCCCACTGAACAGTTTTCATCTTGTCCTGATGGGTCTGGTGAAAGGAGATGGGATATGATTCTTTTGATTCAATAGTGAGTAATTGTTATCATGACTAATTGTGATTGTCACAACTGTAAAGGTAGAAGTTTTGTAACATAAAGGGAGGAGTAGTATCTTACATTACATGAACAGAGGACCCTAGGATCATCAAGGGAGAAGAGCATGAATGGAATGTGGGGTCCTAACCAGAGAAGCAGCAACAGCAGAGATGGAGGCAGAGATGATGTCATGGAGAGAGGGAGCAGCTGAGGACTCCAAATGCATGGAAAGAGAAAGGCTGTGTGCTGGAGACCAAGAGGCAGGCTTGCAGGATGTGCCCTTTGGTTTTTTAAATGATTATATTCCTGAGTGTTTTTGTATACATCAAAAAAACACAAAACAACAGCAAACAGAGGAAATAGAAGCAAATACTGTTAAGTAATGATGCATGGGAGGGATTGTAATCATTGCAATGAAACAAAATATGATAGGATAAGTGCAAAACCAATATTCTCCCATGGAAACTATCACTCAATTCACATTAAAGCTTTAAAAAAAAAAAAAAAAAACTACAGCCAGAATGCAGATAATTTTTGACTCACCCTTCATGGATATTTGGAAGCCATCCAAGACTTTTTAAAGTTTTTATTCCAGATATTTATTTTTAACTGAAAAGTTCCGAGATAAGTAAACCAGTGATAGTAGCTAGTGAATTCATGGCACTGTTGAAAAGCAACATCTACTTTTTTTTTTTAAAGTGACTGTGACTTTGTAGCACTTTGGTACAACCCATGCATCTCATTTCATGCCCTGTATTATATGTATTTTCTTCTTTCATTTAAAAATTATCATTTTTACTTTAAGAAAGGATTTTCATAACCTTAAAATGAAAACCCATAGACCACAGTAATTAAAACACAATAAAATAAATACATATCTGAAGAGGCTGCCATGAAATTGTTAATTAGGCACTAATTTAGTTCTGGAGTCCTGGTGTGGTACTGTGGAAAATGCGCTGGACTGCAAAGTCAGTTTGAACAACAAGGTCGGCAGTTCAAGCTTACCAGCCGCTCCTCGGAACCAACTCTAAGGCATTTAAAAATAACAACAATTTAATTCTAAGCTTACTAGTAGTCAAAACAAAAATGGAAGAATGAGGATTTATAAAGTTTTCCTTACTTATTAAAAAAAAAATCTTATCTTAGAGTAAGTTTAAGGGAGAATTTATTATGCCAATCATTTAATCTAGACTTTTAGAACACAGCAGATAATCTATAGTTTATAAAATTGAGGAAAAATAATTGTATGACAGTTTCACATTTGACACTAAATAAAAATAAATATATTATAATGCAATAATTTCTCTAAGAGGTGCTCATTGATGCTGTCAGTTCTATTTTCATCTTACTAATAGGACTTATCTAACACAGAAGGTTACAGCCTTTGTCTACCTAGACTTTTTCAGGCAAAATGTCAGCTGGGATCTAGTAACTTTGAGTAACTTGAGTAAGTGGAAAAAGGTAGAGCTTAGTGAGCCTTTGAAAAATGGAGGAATAGAGATTGAAGTTAATATAATTATTAGTGTATAACTCATCTATGTTTTATTGATCTAGTACTTTGGAAGTGTTGCTGAAATAATCAAAAATCATCAACATAGTCCACTGGTTCTCATCGACAATCAGAATAACACAAAAGATTCCACAAGACTAAAATATGCCGTTAAGATTTCATAAAGAAAGAAAATGGAAATCAGCATCATTGCTCCAGACATTTTTTTCAGACTTTCTACTTTGAAGAAAAACTATCAAAGCTTCATAGTTTGGATTATGAATAATCCAGTAAGAAAATAGAAGATGGAGGCAGCTATTGAGGTAGTCATCAATCTCTTTATAAGAAGTTCACATGGAATTGTTTTCTCTATTGCCTGACCAGATGAGCTGCTGATATTTGGTGGGATTGAGTTGTCATGATAATAGTCTCTAAATAAATCTTTATTTAAAAGAAACAGGTGTACAGTATTTCGAGTCATGTGAGAACATATCACAATATTTTCAAAATAAGAAAATAAAACTCTTGGATAAAACAAAGCTGCTGAAAATGTAGGCCACCCCAGTGGTGCACTAATGTAGCTGGGATGTCTGCTGTCAATGCCTGACAATTATGTTTTGGTTAAAATTTTACTGTGTAGAAAATAAAAATACTGTAAGTAATATATAATATTTGTAAGTAGCAAACAAGAAACCTGTAATGGGTCCTTTTTTTTGTGAATGTTCCCAACCACAGAACATGTATACAAATGAACTTTCTAGAAGTTATTACTAGAGACTATATTGTTAGCTTTGCTAATTAAAAATGATGATACTCGCTTTTATCTGCATATTTGTTAAGTGGGTCCTTAACTTGACAAGAAGTTCAAAGTGGAATGAGAGCAAAACCAGTTTCTAGGGAAACATGCCGCAGAACAAGGACAAAAGACGGGCTCTTACAAACATTAAGGAATTTAAAGGATATCATTATGATAGCTATGTCCAGAAATGTATTATATGTTGTCACAGGAAATATTTTTAAAATATATTAATACACTTTAGACAGCATTGAAATGATAAAACAGCTAATTAAGATAAATTCAATAATTAAATGAGGAATATACTTGAGCAATCTATGAAATCATTGTGAAAGGCTTTCAGAGAAACCCACACACTGACTTGTAAAGATAATTGTATTTTTTAATAATTCACACTTTCTTTTTCTAAATTGTTCCTCTCCTATTAATATAATCTCACTGTTCCCTAAATTTCCTGTGGAATCTTTTGAATTGCTGTTGTCATTTTGATCCCAGATAGATAGTTCTTTTAAAAGAGAACAATGCTGAAGCCAGACATTGTTTACTAATTACATTAAACTAGTATTTGATTTAAAGAAGACTTCAGGGGACATTTTTAGCTTAAGGTTTAAAGTTTCAAGATGATCTCAGGGTAATAGTTTCAAGATTTCATCCAATCTCAGTGGCTCCATAAAAGCTGGATGCCGTGAAGATTGGAAATTCTGTTTAATATTTTCCCCCTTTGGGATCGGAATTCTTCCAGATAATCTTTGATCAAAACATTCAGAAATGGTGGTGGTGCCATGGAGTCAGTTCCAACTCATAACCACCCTGTAAAGGGTTTCTGAGGCTGTAAATCTTTACAGGAGCAGAAAGCCTCATTTTTCTCCCACAGAGCAGTTGGTAGTTTTGAACTGCTGACCTTTAGGTTAGCAGCCTGTCTCATAACCAGAAATGTTAGCTGGATACAATTTGTTTGTTCTGATCTCATGACAAAGGAGGCAATCATTGATGGAGGCAGTTAGCCACTTTTCCATTTCCTCTGCCTACTCCTGGTTTCCTTTTTTCCTCTGTTGCTCCAGGAAAATAGAGATTAGTTGTTGTACCTTGGATGTCTGTGTGCAAGCTTTTAAGACCCCCAAGAGCTGCACAACAAAATAGAAGATAGAACAGAAGCACTAAACACGTTACTTGGCCAATTAGTTGTGATATCCCATGAAACCATAAACTTAAAATTTCCAAATCAAGAAACCAAGTCCCATGAAGCCATTGATTGCACATAAGCAGTCGCAACAGCTGCTCTTTTGCTGATGTATAGATAGAAAGGGGCTTCAAAAAGTTGTGGAAAATGTAATCAAAAGAAAATAGATATAAAGGCACAAAGTGGCTGGCTTACAAGCATTCAAGAGTGTGCTTAGTTTCAGAACGAAGGAGTAAGGCAGAATCCCCACTGAATCATTTTCCTCTTGTCCAGATGGGCCTGGTGAAAGGAAATGGGGAGAATGAGAATAAGATTCTTTTGATTCAATAGTGAGTAATTGCAATTGTCACAACTGTGAAAGTAGAAGATGTGAAACAAAAAGGGGAGAGTAGTTCATCTTTCATTCCAGGAACAGAGGACCCAAGGACCAGCAAGAGGGAAGAGCATGAGTGGAGCATGGAATCCTAACCAGAAAAGCAGCAACAGCAGAGACAGAAGCAGAGACATAGAGACAGAGAGAGATAGAGCATCAGAGGGCTCTAGACCCATGGAATGTGAAAGGTTTTGTGCCTGAGGGCAGGAGGCTGGTGTGCAAAATGTACCCTTAAGACATTTAAAAGAATATATATTTTTGTGTGTTTTTTGTACATCAAAAAAAAAAGGGGGGGGAGGGAATAGAGGTAAATACTGTTAACTGATGGTGCATGGAGGGGATTGTAATCATTGCAATGAAACAAAATATAATTGGTTGAGCATAAAACTGATGATCTGCCCTGTAAACTATCACTCACTTCACAATAAAAGCTTTCAAAAGAAAAGAAAATGGAGACTGGAGGGCACAAGATGGCAGACTAGGCAGAAAGGCTGAATGGACCCTCTACAACAAAGATGGAAAACCAAATGAAACAGATAGAGATGATAGTCCTGGAACTCTGAGCTTCAGGTAATGGAATAGAAATGTGGACTGAATGCTTATTAGGTGAGAGAGCTGAGCAGGCATGGCAAAAAGTGAGAGACTGGTGAGCTGTGCCAGCCGCGCATTTATCCTGAGTGTCTGTGAGCAGCTCCAGAGACAAGAAAGCATATTGGCATTGCAGAAACATAACTGTGGCTCTCGGGATGAAGATGCAAATTTTTTCTTCTTTCCCACACTCTTCTGGTGACCAGAGGTGACGCCCACCCAACCCACAAACACCCCCAGAGAAGCTCCCACTCTCCCTGCAGTCAAAACCACCCAGAGGTGAGCGCAGCAATTGTGGGTTCTGTTAAAGGCAGGGGGAGCTATCTGCATTAACCCTGTTTAGGCAGTCCCTGCTCCAAACCTGCAGAGTCAGTCCTGGCCAGCCCTGGACTAGCCCCCACTAGGAGAAGCAACTGAACAAATGAGTGGAGGAGAAAGAAAAAAGAGAAAAGAAAAGACAAACAGTGGAAGAGAAAATAAGTGGCTGGGACCTCCTACAAATTAGACACTTATGTGCATCAAAAGATCTTAGCAAAGGAGGAAAAAGGGAGCCCACAGACTGGGAAAAACATTTTTGCAACAACATATCAGACAAGGAACGAATCTCTTAAATTTATAGAAAACTGCAACACCTTACAAGAAAAAGACAAACAACCCAATTAAAACATGGGCACAGGACATGAGCAGATACTACACCAAGGAAAACATTCAGGCAGCCAACAAACATATGAAGAAATGTTCACGTTCATTAGCCATTGGTGGTGGTGGTGGTAGTTATGTGCCGTTGAGTTGGTTCTAACTCATAGCAATCCTAATTAAGCTTTCTAAGGCTGTAAATCTTTATGGGAACAGAAAGCCTCTTCTTTCTCCCGCGGAACGGCTGGTAGTTTCGAACTGCTGACCTTGAGTTTAGCAGCCTGACTCCTAACCACTATGCTACCAGAGGTCCTTTCATCAGCCATTTTGTTGTTGTTGTTGTTTTGAAGTGCCGTTGAGTCAGTTCCGACCCATAGTGACCATGTATAGGGTTTCCGAGGAGCAGCTGGTGAGCTTGAACTGCCAACCTTGCAGTGCAAACGGCTTTGCAGTCTGGTGCATTAACCCACAGCGCCACACCAAGAATTCATTAGCCATTAGAGAGATGCAAAGCAAAACAATGAGATATCATCTTACCCCCAGCATTAATAGTAAAAAAAAAACCACACACACAGAAATCAAGGGTGTGAAGAGACTGGGACCCGCCTACATTTCTGGTGGGACTCTATGATGGTTCAACCACTGTGGGGAACAGTATGGTGCTTCTTCTGAAAGTTAGAAATATAAATAGTGTATGACACAGTCTGGAGTCCTGGCACTGTGGGGTAATGCATGGGATTACAAGGTTGGTTTCAACTGCAATGTTGGCAATGCAAAGTCACCAGACACTCCTTGGAAACCTTACACAGGGCTGCTCTGAGTCGGAACTGACTCGATGGCATTTAATTACAACATGACCCAGTTTACTTGGTATATACCCAGAGAAGTAAGAGCTAGGACATGAGTAGATATATGCACACCAATGTTCATTGCACACTATTCACAAGAACAAACAAATGGAGACAGCCTAAATGCCTATACACACAATGGAATACTATGCAACATGAAAGAATAATGATGAATCTGCAAAATACCTCATAACATAGCTGATCTGTAGGACATTGTACTGAGTGAAATTGGTCAATGACAAAAGGAAAAAAGTTATATGGGACCATTATTGGAAAAACTCAAGAAATGGTTTTCATAGTAAAAGAAACATTCTTTGATGGTTCCCATGGGTGGGAGAGAAGGGAGAGTAATTCACTGGCTGAGGGTTATTGTTGTTGTTAGGTGCCATCATGTCAGTTCCATCTCACAGGGTCCCTATGAACAACAAAATGAAACACCATCTGGTCCTAGGCCATCCTCAGAATCATTGTTACACTTGAGCCCACTGCAGCTGCCACTGTGCCAATCCATCTCATTGGGGGTCTTCCTATTTTTTTGCTGACCCTTTGCTTTGCCAAGCAGGAGTCCTTCTCCAGGAACTAGTCCCTCCCAATAATATGTCTGAAGTATGAGAGACTAGAGTTAGAAGGTAGACACATGCAATGGGAAGAGCAATATACAAGAAAAGAAAGGTTGGCAGAAGAATGATGAAGACAGGTGAAGACACAGGGACATATGCAAGGGCCAGAGGGGCTAGAGATAAATAGTGATATATGCACAACCTTGGAACAACAATGTTCTGTGGGTAGATACATGGACAGAGGCACAGGCTAAATGGGTATGGAAGGGAGAGTGGGAGTATTGCCACAAATATGTAAAAGTTTGAAAGAGGATATTGGTACATGGGTATTCACCTTTCCTGCAAACACAGCTATGAATGTGGTGGAACATACAGTGGACAAAATGATAAAAACTTCCTAAGATGTTATCAAACATCTTAAGACAATGAGTTGATGGGTCTGAAGGCTCAGGATCATAGTCTCAAGGC